CATTATGGCACTAAATACCTTGTCTGCCTTCAGTACCTGAGAAATGGGCTTTTCCTGGTCAAGCACTCTCTCAATCATGTTGAGTCATGTTGGAGACACGGTGTGGCATGAGTTTCTGCTTCATCTCAGCTTGAGCATTTCTCCAGTGCACTGATCACTAATGCACACTGATGAGACAAAACATGATCACCACTTATAGGTGAAGTGAGTACTTGAGGATGTGATGGCACAAGGATACAGCATGGGAAGACAGCAAGCTGGTCGAGGGACTGCGATGCTCTGGGCAATGTTCAGTTTGACACAAGCCAGCAACCTAAACCTCATTGCCTTTATGGCAATGGTATTCCCTCAAGGCAGTGGCCTCTTTCAGCAGAATATTGCGCCTTGCTACAATGCACATATTGTTCAGGAATGGTTTGAGGAACATAATAAAGAGTTCAAGGTGTTGTCCTGATCTCCAGATTGTAATATGCTTGAGCATCTGTGGGATGTGCAACCAGTCCAATCCACTCCATCTCACAAGATAAGGACATGAAGGATCTACTAATGTCTTGGTGCTAGACACCACAGGACTCCTTCAGAGGTCTTGTAAAGTGCATGACTCAGCGAGTCAGTGCTGTTTTGGCGCTGTATAGTCAATGACAGGTCAGGTCAGGTTTTTGCACCTGGCATTATAATTGTAGTTTTATTTTCGCATTGCATCATTACATCATATCGTTACTCATTTGATTGATTGCATCTATCCACATCGATGTATAATTACACCTTTATTAAATATAAAATGTAAGGTCTATGGGCCATTTTTGCATTATACTGTTGATACAGTATTTTTGACTTGTTCCTCAGTTTGTAAAAATCATGTTAAATGCATTTACATAGAACCCCTCTGTTCCTTCTCCAAGATGGTGTGGTTATAGCATGTACTTTTGTTTTAAAGCACTTGGTAATGTATGATTTGTTCTAAAGGAAAAATAGCTGGGTAATAGTGGGCAGAATAGTCTGTAGCAACCAGGATTGGTTATTTGCACTCAGTGTAATTTGCAATAGGGGTAACCTTGTTTTAAGAGAATGTAATAACAAGAGAATACTATGGGAGAAAAGTTACCAAGAAACAAAAACAGCAGAAAACTAAACCAGGGTAAAAAGACAATATTTTATTAATTTAAACATAAAGTTATCAGGATGCTTATCCTTTCAAATTCAGTAACAAAAATCCAAATAGCCTTTGAAAGAAAGATTAAATTACATATTTTCAAAGAAGAAATCTTTTATTTTTATAAACACTTCCTGAATTGATTGTGACATCAAGTTTGACTGTGATACCTTTTACCTTTGTCAGAATTTACGTTTGTAAACCCCTTTACAAGACATTCATCTAATCTAAATTTAAACATTTAATAATTAAAGCCTCGGTTTTTCTTCTTTTCAGTTTTAACAGTATTTTATGGAAACGTGTTTTTGCACCTGGCATTATAATTGTAGTTTTATTTTCGCATTGCATCATTACATCATATCGTTACTCATTTGATTGATTGCATCTATCCACATCAATGTATAATTACACCTTTATTAAATATAAAATGTAAGGTCTATGGGCCATTTTTGCATTATACTGTTGATACAATATTTTTGACTTGTTCCTCAGTTTGTAAAATCATGTTAAATGCATTTACATAGAACCCCTCTGTTCCTTCTCCAAGATGGTGTGGTTATAGCATGTACTTTTGTTTTAAAGCACTTGGTAATGTATGATTTGTTCTAAAGGAAAAATAGCTGGGTAATAGTGGGCAGAATAGTCTTTAGCAACCAGGATTGGTTATTTGCACTCAGTGTAATTTGCAATAGGGGTAACCTTGTTTTAAGAGAATGTAATAACAAGAGAATACTATGGGAGAAAAGTTACCAAGAAACAAAAACAGCAGAAAACTAAACCAGGGTAAAAAGACAATATTTTATTAATTTAAACATAAAGTTATCAGGATGCTTATCCTTTCAAATTCAGTAACAAAAATCCAAATAGCCTTTGAAAGAAAGATTAAATTACATATTTTCAAAGAAGAAATCTTTTATTTTTATAAACACTTCCTGAATTGATTGTGACATCAAGTTTGACTGTGATACCTTTTACCTTTGTCAGAATTTACGTTTGTAAACCCCTTTACAAGACATTCATCTAATCTAAATTTAAACATTTAATAATTAAAGCCTCAGCTGTAAAATCTTTTTTTTTCTTCTTTTCAGTTTGAACAGTATTTTATGGAAACATATGAAAGTTGTTTTTTTTAGACAGGTTGCTTAGTTAAATTGAGTGCTTTAAATTGTTTTATGAACTGAACCTTGGAAGTCAAGTTGCATTTAGTTACAATGGCCTATTCAATTTAGAAATTGGACTTCAAACAAAGTATCTGCATTATTAGCGAATTTCAATAATGTGGCAGAGATGAATTAGAAACAAATGGTATTTTGGTAGAAAAAGACATTCAACTTAAGAAACTGAGAGAAAAAAAAAGTTTAAGCACTTTAACCCATCAACTCACGATCCCCATCTGGAAATAAAGCACTTAATACCTGAATTGGGCCTCAAATGTATGGGCTGCTTTCCAAACTCACTATCTGATGAGAAATTAAGAGAATATAAATAATATTAAGTCTTTCAGTTGCTCATTTCATTGAACACGTTTAATTTGTATATCTATAAAACACCTCTTGGATATTGTGAAGATCAGCATCCACCTCAGTGTCCTCCTTGAAATCTACATGTGTCCTGTTGTGTCTCTGTTCTACTGACTGATCTAGTATTTGTCATCTTCTGCATCGCTGAGAGTTTCACCGCCAGCAAGAGATACGCTCTGTGTCAATCTCTTCCGGAAGTGTCCGTTGGGCACCTGCCAGCCTATCCGTGACCTTGTGCGCATCGAGGCGCTGACCGTGTTCGCGCGGCCTAGGCTGGTGGCCACCGCTGCCTCAAAGGTAAGAGTTTCCATAGGAGTGGCAGAATCGGGGCTGTGCTCTTCCTCTTGTAGGGCGAGGAAGGAATCGGAAGGATAGCGGCATGCGGATGAACCCAGATATTCACCCACTTCAAATTGGGTAGTTTCCGGCTGTCTCGCTTCCTGGTCTTCAGCACCGTCATCCCATAAAGCAGTACTACAGCACCCTATCATCTGCTGGACAGTTGCGTCATCGTTGTCATCATCAACAACATGTGATGAAGGTTGCGTGTGGCACACTAAGGGTGAGTAAGAGATGTGAGGGCGTGAGCAGGTGGAGGTCTGGGACAGGCGACGCTTGCCACTCGGGGTGCTGGACTCTGAGGTGGAGGGAACAGGGCTTTCTGAGCTGTTTCCCTGCGGAGAAATCAGATTTCAAGTATTTAATCCAATTAATGTCATATTTAAACTTAAAGGGTTAGTTCACCCAAAAATGAAAATTAGCCCATAAATGACTCACCCCCGAGGCATCCTAGGTGTATATGGCTTTCTTCTTTCAGACGAATCCAGTCAGAGTTATATAAAAAATTGTCTTTGATCTTTCAAGCTGTTTAATGCCACTCAGTGTTGCATGCTTCAGTCCAAAAGAAGTTAAATAAAAAGCGCCCATCCATAAAAAAAAATTCTCACAGGCTCCGGGGGGTGAACAAAGGCCTCCTGTAGCGAATCGATGCGTAGTGTCATGTAATACCTACAGAGCCCCAAAAGGAATAAGGTGATGCCAAAAAAATTAGATGGCAATGCTTTTGTATTTCCACAAGAAACTTTGCATTTGCTTGCAACACTTTTGATGGAAATGAGGTGGGAAGAAAAACTGTATTTCAGTGCTTTTGTGAACGAATGCAAAGTTTATCTGGAGAACGCAAATATTTTGAAAGAGAATGTTTCCCGGGAATGCAATACTTTTGCAAGCAAACTTAAAATAATTAAAAAATAATTGTATTCTCCTGTCTCATATTTTTTCCATCACCATGTCCCGTCAGGGACTCACTAAATTGTGACCCTGAACCACAAAACCAGTCATAAGTAGCACGGGTATATTTGTAGGAATAGCCAAAAATACATTGTATGGGTCAAAATTATCGATTTTTCTTTTATGCCAAAAATAATTAGGATAGTAAGTAAAGATCATGTTCCACATAGATATTTTGTAAATTTCCTACCGTAAAAGAGAGGCAAACAGACACAAGAAGTGGTTGTAATACCAAGTTCTTAGACATTGTTCAAATAAGTACAAGCTAGAAAGAGAAGGAATAAACAAATTTTTTTAATTTTTTTTTTTATGATGAAGTCAAGTAGCTTCAAGTAGCTACCTAATAAAGTGGCCACTTTATTAGGTAAACCTTTTCAACTGCTCATTAACGCAAATATCTAATGAGCCAATTGCATGGCAGCAACATTTAGTCATGTAAACATCATCAAGGCCTATCTGCTGAAGTTCAAACCGAGCACCAGAATGGGGAAGAAAGGTGATTTAAGTGACTTTGATTGTGACATGGTTGCTGGTGTCAGACAGGCTGGTCTGAGTATTTCAGAAACTGCTGATCTACTGGGATTTTCACACACACACACATCTCTAGGGTTTACAGAGAATAATCCGAAAAAGAGAAAATAAACAGTGAGCAGCAGTTCTGTGGGCAAAAAAATGCATTGTTGAAGTTAGAGGAGAATGACCAGACTGGTTCAAGCTGATAGAAAGGCAACAGTAACTTGTTGCAACTGCATCTCTGAATGCACAACATATCAAACCTCAAAGCAGATGGGCTACAGCACAGAAGACCACACTGGGTGCTACTCCTATCAGCTAAGACCTAGAAACTGAGGCTACAATTCACACAGGCTCACCAAAACTGCACAACAGAAGACTAAAAAAGTTGCCTGGTCAATTTCTGCTGCAACATTCAGATGGGAGGGTCAGAATTATGTGTAAACAAAATGAAAGCATGGATCCATCGTACCTTGGAGCAGCACTCCGACATATAGCACAGTTGTGCCTCAGGCGAACCAAGTTCAAATAATGGCTAAAGGGTCTTTGCCTGTCCTGTTATCCTCTCTCTCCTCCTTGTTGTTTCCTGTCTCATCTACACTGTCCTGTCTAATAAAGGCATAAAAGGCCAAGAATATAACAAAACATAGTTTTGTGTAAAAAAGACCCTTCAAAACAAAAAACTTAAAGGTAGTACAAGATCAGGGGTGTCCAAACCCGGTCCTGGAGGGCCATTGTCCTGCTGAGTTTAGCTCCAACTTGCCTCAGCACACCTGCCTGGAAGTTTCCAGTTTGCCTAGTAAGACCTTGGTTAGCTGGTTTATGAGTGTTTTACTGGGGTTGGACCTAAACTTTGCAGGACAGCAGCCCTCCAGGAACAGGACTGGACACCCCTGTCCAAGATGGTTAAGACCCAATCTAGAAAGTACCTAGTAAAGCGTAATGATCAAGTATAGAACTCAGGATACATAAGATCCTCAATTTTATTCTGCGTGACCAAAGTTTGATCTGTTCTAGTACTCTTTGAAGAATGAAGAGTGTGTCTGTTGCTCTGATATCTTTAGGAACATTTGATGCATATCTGACTCCATTCACGCTGTAGGAATTGTGTTATGGCTATAGCCTTACATCCTCTCCTCTTTAACCGCCGAGGGCCCTATTACTATTTTCCATTGCATCTGAGTCTCACCTTTATTGATGGGTACCAGCAGATCCAGTGTCTTTTGGGACAGGTGTGGCCAGATGACACTTATCTCCTTCTGCAATTCAATGTCCAACTGTATCCGGTCCTCGCCCCCTGATAGGAAACATATGGCCTCAAATAAGAGATTAATACAGTAGATAGACTGAAAAACTAAAGAACATGCATGCATTGCATCCTCATAAAATATGTGTAAAAAAGTGTAATCTTTCTGTTACTTTTATAGTGCTGGGATATCTGAGGATTCTGGGATTTCTCCCCATCTACTCCTCTTCCCTTAGCTGTCTTGTGCCAGTTTGTTGCCTCACCCCTGGCATCTGAAAGAATGCCCTGTTCACTAAGATACTGACTCTAGCCTACCTTTCTAGACTCTGCCTGTCGGCCTGCACTCTTGTCTCTGAACCTGGACTGTTTCTTGGATTATCCATCTCTCTCATTGTCCACAAACTTGCTTGCTGGTTTGCACTGTTTGCCTACTGACAATCTCTGCCTGGCCCCGAACTGAGTTTTTGCCAAGCTCTATTACAGTTTTTTGCCTTTTCTTTTGCCTCGTAGTTGTTTGTGCTTCAATAATTTCCACTCCAAGTAAATAACCTGCATTTGGCTCCACCTTTTCCTGACTGGGACAACCATTGGAATTCACTAAATAATAGATGGTAATGATGTGGACCCTTGTTGCAGAGGTGTCG